CAAATTCGTAAGTTTAAGTCTTAACATCCAGAATATCAGAATATGACGTAATCTCCAAATAAAGGTTAAAATGAAAACATTAGGCTGAGTTCTGATCCAAAATGTCCAGTGTCCTTATTAACAAGAGAAATCTGGACCCACCAACCTGCAGGGAAGGAAGTCAATGTGAAGCGACATTAGAATAAAACTGACATCTACAAGCCAAGGACAGAGGCCTGGGACAGATCATTCTGCACAGCACACTTAAAAGGCAGCCGCCCTGCCAGCATCACCGTGCTGGACTTCTAGCCTTCAGAACGTGAGACAATGAGTCTGTGTTGTTTAGGCCGCCCAGCTGGTGGTGTTGTTCCGGCAGTCATAGCACATATAGCACCATTATCTTCCTGTTTAAAAACCTCAAAATTTCCTCTGGTTCTTAATCTCCTGGCCACATGACCTCTGATGATCTGTTCCTGAGTGACATTCTCTCCTGCAGTCTTGTGTCCCATAACCGCCAGCCCCAGACACACTTCTGACTTTTCTCTGGCAGTCTGCGATTACTTTCTAAGGCTCCTCACCTACAGGCTCTCTGAAGCAAAAGCCCTGATCATCCCATCCCCTTTACAACTCTTTACTTTTTGTTTGTTTTTGTTTTTATTTTTAAATTTATATATTTTAATTATTATTCATGCACTAAATCACTATACATCATTTAGATTGTGAAGAGACTTTACCCAGCATGATATACACCTCAGTCCAGCCCAGTTGAGACCACCATACACATCCTCATCAACAGATAATAAACCTTATCTGTGTCCCACAAGTGTCTCACCTCTCCATTCTCCCCCCAATTCCCTAAGCTCTTCCCCTCTCATACCCTCTTTCCACGTTGTCTCTAGTGTCCATTATAATTTTTAATACTTTTATGTTCTCCAGTCTTCAACCCTTTACTTTAACTTGTTGCTAAAAATGTCTGTGTTGTTTCCCTATCACTCAAGGGTCTTTGCCGTCTGGTATAAATACATGTGTCACACAGTGTGTATTACTGTTCTTCTTCATGTATTTTCCCTTTTTATAAAAAAAGAATTATTTTATTTAACTTTATTTATTGATCTAAATTTGACCAGCAAGGGACAGAGTGAGAGTGAGCAAGAGAGGGAAAGTGAGAAAGCAAGCTGGCCATGTGGGTGTCCAATGCCCTTAACCATCACACCACCTACTGGCTCCAGTGTATTTTAATCTAGAACAAATACTTTCTGTACTCTGAGTATACTACCATAGCCTGTGTCTTTGACCATCTTGACATTATTTTCACTTTAGCTAGCATTTGTTTGAATATTTGCTATGTATCAGGTACTGTGCTAGGTGCTAGCAGAACTGATCTAAAATCTCCATGTGTTGACATCTACTAAGTTCTAAGCCTTCCCTCAATCCATTAAAGGCATATTATAGAGTATCTCATCAGTTTTCATTAGACTCCTAATCTGTAGGAAAATATATTGGGTTGTCAGAAAAGTCATGATGTGTTTTTCTATGCAAAAATGCATCATGCTTTTTATGACAATCTGATATTATTCCTTTTATGCTGAAGACAAATTGAAGGTTCATACATGTTAAGTAATTTGCCTACAACATATGACCGGAAACTGGTTAAGATATTAACCTACATTTGTCTATTATCCACCACTTCCTTTTTGTGAATTCTTACTCATGATATAATGTCTAGTTCCAATGTGGCTTCTCAGTAATGCCTTCTGTGCTGCCCCCAGCTAAAAATGACCAAAGATGCTCCAACCATATCTGTAACAATTCTTACATTCCAACTTATGTCACATGCCTTGTGTACTTGCTTTCAGTCTTCCAGGAGAGCTTGTACTTCTTGAAGCAAACAGGAAACTCATAAAAACATACATTGAAAAAGTTGAAGTTCTATATTTGTCCTTAAGCTGCATAACAAAATTTATTAAAATAAATTAATCTTTAGGGTTTTCCACAGATTTTACTCTGCTTAGTGATTTATAGTCTCCTTTGATGCCAATTATTTCATAGGCTGTCAAAGAATTAATGCATCCCTAATTTGGAGGCTTTCTGTGATCATAGAAGATTAAAAAAAAAAAAAAAGGAAATTTAGTAATCATTCCACTCTATGACCCTAGACACTGGCTAACTCCTGAGTAATACTTCAAAAGGTAAAGGAAGCATAATGGCAAAATGAGGACAAAATTATCAATCAAAGTCACCAAAAAACCCCCACTAATTATAAAATCCATGTCAAAGTATGTGATGCCATGAACAGTTCTAACACTGTATAAAACATTATAGAAATGTGAAGTAAAAGACAATGACTTGATAATCCTTTCCAAGCAATAGCAGGCAAGTGTTAGAAACCAATCACCGGAAAAACCTTAACTGTGTTTTTACGAAGTTTTGGAGCTTCTAAACCAAAGAAAGGGATACAATTTAAATTTGAAGGTATAGCATCATAAAATGCAAGGAGTCTCTCATGCTGTAGTTTCTAACTGTTTTAATTATGTGTCTTGTTCCAGAGCTCGCAGAGCAAAAGAAAATCTGCTACATGTTTGTAAAAATCATACTCACGCAATGATAGCCCCATTCAAATAAATGTTTTCTCCAAAGCAAAATTTTAAGTTGTAAAAAACTATCCAGGAAAAGTTACAAGCTGTACACTCATGAATTCATTCTTGAACATGCTCGATTCATTCCAATTAACGGCACTTTCAAATCCCCCCAAGATCTCTTAAAATTGTCCTGGCGATGTGCCTAAATATATATAAATACAAACATTCTTGGCAATTAACTGGACAGTACGGGGTAAATGAGATGAACAAGGAATTCACTGTGCTACCTCCATTAGTGTTAATGAGAGTTGTTTAGCTAATTCCCTTAGCACTGCTTTTAATTTTCATCACCTCTGTGGGGTCCATTCTAACGCATTTAATTTTTACACCCTACCCCCAATCCATGAAGGTTTCTACTTACCTCAGTAATGAAGGATTTGGCTGTGGCAGGATTCATAACAAGGATGGCTCTCCTAAGAGTGTCTCGATAGCGATTCAATTCCTCTATTCTCATGGTATCGAAGAGAGTGGTGATCATTTTATTGATGTTGTTTTCTACCTTCTGAAGTGCAACATCCATTCCCTGCTGAGACACTTTGTCCAAAAACTCCTGTATTCCACGGATATCTAGGAACATGAAAAGTCCATCAAAATGTGAATTACAGTCCAGAAACGAGACAAAGCTATTTTACCTTCAGAAAGCTCATTTTCAACATTGAAAATGGTCTAAAATAACTGAATTGCTACTAGAACTCTAAAAATGTTTAAGGTTTGTATGATTTAATGTATTTATATGAAAAATGCAGGAGTATTTTTTATATGATTTTCTTTCTTTTGACACAGGACTCTAAATTATCTCAACACTGAAATACTTGGCCAGAGTGAGGGAAGGTTGTTGGAGAGGAACCTCACTTCCTTAAACAAAGTATGAGAAGAAGGAAAGTATATTGTCTGTTCTTCTCAACATTGAGGAGACATGTTAACCTCAAGTAATGCATGAATATTATTGAGGACAGATGAATCTGTATCAAGATTACCATTACCAACATTTCTTAAAATAGGTAACATTATTGCTAAACTTGACATTTGTAATCGGAATAGCTTTTTTTTGTTGTTGTTTTGTTTTGTTTTTGTTTTTTTAGGTTTTTGTTATAGGGCACATGCACTCACAATCCTTTCTCCTCCATTTATCTTGTGGGATTTTGCATATGCATGCATTTGTGCCCAGTGTGATTTTCAAGCTGCCGGGTTCTGGACTCAAAGCACAGTGAGCCATGTGTGAGTCCAATGTCTTAACCACTATACCACCTGCCGGCTCCTAAGTAGAAAGTTTTAAGAAGTCATCTTTGGGCAGGTAGCATGGTGGAAAAAGGCACTAAATTTTCACATGGCCAACCATGGTTCAAGTTCCAGACCTGATAGCTTCCTTTCTCACTTTCCCTCTCTTTCTGTCTCTGTCTCTCTGTCTCTTTCTGGTCAAATTGGAAAACAATAATAAATAAAATGAAAATAAATAAATAAATAAATAAGTCAGTCATCTTCTACGGATCTCTGGTAGAACCCGAGATCAGAAATGCAAGTACAACTTAGACTACAAATACAACAGCTGCATTTATGTCTATTTTATGAGTTCTATCTCCTTAGCTCAAATTTGGAACACCTGGTAGGAAAGTTTTCAGAAGTATGGAGGATGTTCTTTATATATAAAACATCAATTTTCAAAATATACATTTCAGCATTTTAGAAAACATCGAGCAACATTTTAAAATGTACGATGAGGAGCAAAATAGTCACACATCCATACTATGCTAAGTAACATTCTGAAAAGGTATCAAATAAGTCCTGTGTCTACCTCACATTTAAATAAGGAATATAAAATCTAGTTAAAGTATTTATAAATGTGTACTCTCATGTATACCGAAGTATCAATAAGTATTTGGAACATGACAAATATTTCTTCTAGTGCTACAGTGGGTGTAGACAAAGGTATCTGAGTTGATATGTAAGGTGAGAAGCTATACCTAGCACCAAATGGTCTTAAAAGAACAGATTTGCGGGGACCAGCAGTTAGCATAATGGCTATGTCGCTGGGCTCCCACATAGTCGACCGCAGTTCTCGTCCTGGACCCGGAGGCTTAAAACTCACGCTGGGGGTGTGTGCATGTGTGCCCAAGATCCCGAGAGGAGAATGGAGGAGAAGGGATTGTGGCGTGGCTATCCCCCTGGGGGATGATTTCTCGCTTTCTGTCTCTCTGTCTCTCTCTGGCGAGTTCGCGTGCCCTATAGGAAAAACTTCTAAAAAAAAAAAAAAAAAGAACAGATTTGCTCTTACTATATATTTTTTACACATTCAGACACTATAGTTCTCATTATACACCTAAGACATGAAATATTTAAAAGGAAAAAAACTGAAGAAAGAAAGAAATGGGATTGCAGAAAACTTATGATGAATGGACTGTATCTCAAAATCCCTAATTGCATATAACTGTGTGTTTATTTACTTCTCAATGGTGATAACACATTTAAGACATTAACAAATAAAAGCAATAATTAAGTCGCTAGAAGGAAATAGTCACAAAACTGGAAAATTATACTTAAAACCAAAGTTTTTATTTGCAAAGTTATAAATCAATAAAATAACTTTGCTTTATATTTCTGATTGTTTTTAAAACAATTACTAGAGGGCCAGCCAGTGGCATGGTGGTTTAGGCAGCTGATCCTATGCGGCTGGCTGATGGCACAGTTTGAGTCTTGGACCTAGCATCTTGAGAAACACACCAAGCACATATGTATGCATGCCCAAAATCCTGATAAGGGAGAAGTGGAGGAGAAGGAATTGTGGTATGCACATCCCCATGGAGGATACATCTCATTTTCCCTCTCTCTGTATATCTCTCTGGCAAGTGCATGTGTCCTCTGGAAAAAAATAATTTTTTTTAATTACCATAAATGTTATACATTGATTTATCTGATAACTCTAAAACTCTTCAGAACAGATACCCTGTACAAATTCTACCTTACATTCCTTATTCCTAATTAAATTATAAACCCAGGATGTTAGCATCAAAGCAGTTTAGAAGAACGGAAGCTCAGCCAAAGCAGGACAGGAGATGAGAAAGCTGGGATGATTGAGGCATTACGTATTCATCTAGCATCCAGGTCGCCTGGCGCATCAGTGTGTAACCCACGGAAGCATGGGTCAAAGACAGGGTTACATCCGACGGAACTTGGCAGACGCAGGTAGAGGTATGGTAATGACAGGACTACGTCCACACTAAGCAGATGTGCTTACACTTCAGCATGAATCAAAATCATGTGAGAAGCTTATTAAACATACAAAAGCCTGGGTCCCACCCCAGAACCCAAATGCCTTTCCTGTTGGAACAGATTCTTGATTTGGGATTGTTAGTTGTCCCATTTTTATTTGAATGGCTTAAGTGAGCATCTAAAACAAAATAAAGTCGAAAGTACATTGACACAGATGCTCAGAAAACACAGCAGGAGGAGAACACAGAGCTTCAGATCACTTATGGTCTAGGAAAGCTTCCGATCAGAAAAAGGAACCATCAGTGCTATTTCACACCTTAATTCTGAGAAAATTAAAGGTCTGTCTGAAAGATATTTCTGGAATATGGGGCATAATCTTGTGTGTTAGGGGCACAACAGTAAATACCCACCCCCACACTGAGACAGAAAACAAGTAAGCAAAGTAATAAATACAAATCACACTGAATGCTTAGAAGGAAACAATGAAGATGTTCCAGTGGGTACTTACAGGTCAGGGAGGAGAACTCATTTTATCAATAATTAGGAAACTGCTATTTTAACTGTGATGTAAAGGATGAAAGTATGAGAAGACATTATTCAGGAAAAGAGATAGGGAGTGAAGACATGGCCCTGGAGAATGCCTCAAGGGAGTGAAGAGTTTGTGTGTGAAAAAACCTAAGGGTTTCAGTGTGGTCACAGCCCTTAGGTGGAGAGAATGGAGAGGGAGGCTCAGGTTACGCAGCCCTCTGACAAACACAGGAAGGTCTGAGTTCATTCTAAGACAGTCTTAACCTATTGGAAGTTCTAAACTGAGGATCAGACTGAAGTGGGTGACTGGCTGTGAGTGCTGAAGGAAATCCAGTTTAAGACTGAAAGTGACTCATTAGACTGCATGATTCAAACTGAGACTGTACATTAATTCCCCTTAACTTAAAAATAGTCTGACTTTGGAGGACCAGCAGTTAGCGCAATGGCTATGTCGCTGGACTCCCATGTAGTTGACCATGGTTTGAGTCCCAGACACGGTGGCTTAAACTCATGCCGGGCACGTGTGTGTTCATGCCCAGCATCCTGAGAGGAGAATGGAGAAGGGATTGCGGCGTGGCCATCCCCCCTGGGGGGTGATTTCTTTCTGTCTGTCTGTCTTCATGGTGAGGGCACGCACCCTATAGCAAAATCCTCCTCCCAAAAAAGAAAAAAAAAATAGTCTGACTTTTTTAGCTTTTATGTTTTTTTTATCAGAAATAATATCTGTATTCTTTAGAAAAGTACTGTAATAAAAGGCCACTATTGTTTCCCTTCCTTACTGAGTACTTTTTGTTGTCACTTCTAGACACGTCAGTGTTACATTTGTTTGACAAATTTTTCCAATCAGTAAATGAAATATCTTATAGATGTCTTCAAAGATTAGATTAGTGGGGGTGTCTCTCTCTCTCTCTCTGTGTACACAAAATCCAGTGTAGTATCTGAAGCATGGGAGCTCTTATGATTGTCTTTAGTAGTAAATTTCTGTTTTATTCTTTTAAGAGAGAGATTTTTGCTATAGGACACATATACTCGCTGGAGAGACTCACAGAGAAAGAGAGAGAGATAGAAACTGAGAAATCACGCCTCCCCAGGGGGGATGGCCACACCACAATCCATTCTCTTCCATTCTCCTCTTGGGATCTTGGGCAAACATGAATATATGCCCAGTGTGAGTTTTAAGTCACTGGGTCCAGGACTCGAACTGTGGTCAGCTATGTGGGAGTCCAGCAATGTAACCATTATGCCATCTGCTGGTCTCAAGTAGACCAGCAGATGTTAAGAGATATTTGATTAACTGTTAAGAGACCTCGTCTCCCTATCAACTGGCCAGATCCCCTTAAATTTACTGATAACTTTTAACCCAAAACAGCAAGTATAAAGACCAAGGATGGCCTTTGGGATGCAGGAGTTCAACAGTCACAGTTGCTTATTTGAGACTGACGCTACATACACATGGTATAATACAATTGGTAAGTTCTATGAGAAAGACATCTAAATCATGTCATTAGCTGCTCTGTGTAAAATAGTCATTAAAAGTGAGAGTGGGCCTTTGGTTTTGTTAATTAAATATGAACATAATCAACCACTACAATTATTCAGCTCCATTCTTTGTATGCTGACTAGGTAGCAGTAAATGAGTTAAGTTCCACACCTTACAGAAACAAAAACGACACAGTGCCTGACCTCAAGGAGCTTCCAGCCTATCAACTGGACTGAGTGCTATTTATGGTTATCAGAAAGTTAAACAGCAGCTTCAGTCATTCACAGTGATTATTAATTCTAGTGACCAGAGAATTACATAATAGCAAGTAGTGGAAAGCTCATTAACAGAG